CACGTTTTTATAGTTTCAATTGGTTTTTAATCGGATCCTTATAATTTTCTTCTTTTTATCAGGTCTTTATAATTTCATATGTTTTTAATCAAGTCCTTATAATTTTTTTCTTTTTATCACGTCCTTATTGTTTTACCTTATTTTTAATTAGGTCATTGTAATTTTTATTGTTTATTCTATAAATAATAATATTTTATAAATAATAAATTATTATTATAATAATCTTATGTTAATATTCTTTTAAATTTTTAGTTAAGCATATATATTATTTATTTTTCAATTCTAATTTTTATAATTATAAAATTCAAATTATAATAATAAAAATTTTTAAAATTAGAATATAATTATAAATAATTTATTGTTAAATATAAGGGAGAATGACAATGAGGTTCCAAGCAAGGAAAACAATTAAAAAAAAGTTCCAGAAATTATTATTCTCCACTCTAGGAGTTATCAGTATAAACTGTTGAGGTTGTTCTTAGAACCTTTTGGTAATTATTTCTCTTTTGTGGAACTTGATTGTAATTTCCCCTAAATATAATTGATTATCCTGATCAATTATGAATTACTAAATGATTATATTAATTATTTTGTCCAATTATATAATTATTAATTTAATGAAATTTATTTTAAAAAATAAAGTTAATAAATAATATTTTTTAAAATATAAAAAACTTATTTATAAAAAAAGTAAAACTACAAGGACCTGATAAAAAATGAAGAAGTCTAATTAAAAACACATGAAAATAATAGAATTTGATAAAAAAATTTATAAAAACCTGATTAAAAATCAGATAATACTGTAAGTAGCTGGAGATCATCCTTTCTTTTAAAACCAAATGACAGTAAAGTTGCTTTTTATTTTTATTTTTTGGCCAGAAGATGAAATTTTTTTTTTTTTTTTTGCCAACGCCAGAAGATGAAAGTTAAGCTGCTGAGTGGGTGCTTTTTCCTTATAAAAAATAGCAATGCATAAATGGTTTGACAAAAAGCCACATGGCGGGTAGCCGCCAACTGCGCAGCGGGAACTTAAATGTGATGACATGGAATCTTGCAGACTTTTCTGGTTCTATTTTGGTTCACACTGTTGACCTTTTTTGGCAAAGCAAAAAAAGAGGCATTTTCTTATTTAAAAAAGATCAATAATTTTATATTGACCATATTTTCCTTTCATTTCTTTAAAGGAAAATGTTAGTTATTAAAATTTCGCCTATTAATCCACCGTCAAGCTCCACCAGGGAGGTCCGTGCTATCCGCTGGAGAAATTGTGGTACGTGTGTGTACGTGAATTAAAAAGGCAATATTTTGAAATATTATTTCTGATTCTAATTATAAGAGTTAATTGACTGATTTGAGAATATTAAAAAAAAGTTAAGTTAGTTATTTGTAATAAATAGATGTTGTTTTTTCTAAAATATCCTTGCTAATCAAGTGTGTTGGCTAGAACTATTATTATTAGAAAGACTATCTTGGAAAAAAATACACAAATATTAGAAACAAAATGAATTGAGGTCTTATATTTAGGATAAAAATAAAAGTCAAATAAGATCTTATATTAAGAAACGGAGATAGTGTAATATATTGCATTTGCATGCCAGTGGTGTTGTTGACAAATAAGGTTTCACAAAGCTGACCAAAAGAGGAACATGGGGACTTAATGCCAATTTGGTGTATTATTCACATTCAGTTATTCCATACCTTCTCATTTTCCTTCAAGTGGTGCTAGAGACAACACCTCTATTCAAAGATTCAAGTATTATTCAATTAGTTTCTTTTCATGACAAGCACAACTACTATCTTTCCCTAAAGGTAGATTAAGTTGAGTAGAAGGAATTAGTTCCTCGTAATATAATAAATTTTAAATTCTTATTAAGAGAGATGTCTATATTTAATACTCGATAATAACACTTCCCGCTCTTATATATGAATACCGATGACGTGTTATTCGAAAAGGAAAAAAAACTCAATTTTAACAATTTCTAGAATATGAAAAATCCTCCCTCAAGGTCCGTACAAAAATACAAATAAAATAAAAAATACTAAATACAGTCTTTAATATAAGAGATAGTTAATTGAGAGGTTAGACTTAATCCTACATTTAAGATTTTAATTTTAATATACTTTATCTTTCATATTTATCTTTTCTCCCCCCCGGAATCACTTTGCCTAACTTATATGTTGATATATGATACTCCTTCTGGTTTAAAATACAGGATAAATTCTATAAAGAAACTAGTTAAAATTAGTTTAAAATAATAAATATGTAAGGCATGTATTTTTTTCCAAATATGCCCTTATTAATGAAGAGAATAAGTAAAAAATGCAATACATGAATCAAATAGGAAAGAGAATATATGGGGGCAAAATTGAAAAAAATTTATTAAATGTTTAGACAAAAGTAAGTGTTATCTTATAAAATAAAAAACCAAACCCTTCAATCAAAGTTTATCTTATATTTTGAATTCGGAGGGAGTATAATACTACACAGATAGGTATTTTAGGAATATTATGTCACATTGTTAGAATTAATTTGTCTATCTAACTTTTTTAATCTACCCCAATTAATTAAATAACTATGATACTAAAAACTGGAGGAAATTTTTTTTATAGTAGGGGGTAGTTTTTTTTTTTATTTTACTTGAATATGAAAATTTTAAAATTTTGGATGAAGATTATATATTAACTAAGAAGAGTTTTCTATCAATATTGAAAATTTGTTTAGTTTAGTGAAGATTTCGATAATTAGTCTTGACTTATTTTCATACTTCAAGTTAAGATCACGTTTGGTACAAATAAATCATCATTAGCATCATCATTGTTGCGAAGAAGTTAACTAATTTCATTGCTAGACACAACAACCTCTGTTCAAACACTAATAAATTAAATCTCGTTGAAGATGTCAAGCATTTTAAAATTATGAATTTTTTTTTGGCCAGCGAATTAGAGTGATATTATAGATCAAGTATACTATTAAGCAATTTCTTTGTTCCTTAATGTAAGATCTAATTAACTAATTTGAATAGATTAAAAATGTTAGTTAAATTAGTTAATATGATTTTTTTTAAATACCCTAATCATCTTCTTTAATTCCCTCCCCCTCCTACTTAATTATTATTGAGAAAATATCAATATGGTTAATTTGAAAATTTTTTGGTAAATATGTGAAATAGGTCTTACATATGGAACCGATATTAACTCTCAAATTAAATCCTATGTCAAACACTGGAAGATTAGAAATTAACATATAACTGGGATGCAACATAATGGTTTAAAAGACACTGTATAAGAGGTAATTAAAGTTCTAAACTAGCAATTATAACTTTAATTACAGTCAAGGGATAGCTATTAAGAGGCAATTGAGACTATACTAATTAAAATTACCCCTTCAAATCTAGAATCACCTCTAATACTAAGCAAACTTTAATTTAGCTTTGTTTGTTTCACTGTAACTGTATTTTAATTGTTTTTTTAAATCTTGGGTTAATATTATTTTCAGTCCTTGAAATTTAATATCATTTTGGGTTTGATCTATGAAATTTGAAACTTCGGCCTTTGGTTTTGGCCCATGAAATTTGAAATTAGTGATTTTAGCCTTTGAAATTTGATTGCATTTTGGTTTTGGTTCTTGAAATTTGATTTGATTTTGGTTTTGGTCTTTATGTTGGACAAAAAACATGGTTCCAAGGATAAAAATTATAGGCGAGCCAAAATGAAGTAAAATTCTAAAAACTAAAATCACTGATTTCAACTTTTATGAACTGAATGGTGATGAAAGAAGCTTTTCCCCGTTGCTATAGGCTTGTACTTTCTCTCTTGTTTGAAGTAATGGTATTCAATTTTCATTAAAAAAATTCCAATAAACAAGACCATTTGTTTTCAATTACAAGAACTAAAACTAAAATAATGTTAAATTTTGAGGACTAAAGATGATATTGCGCTTGTTTAAAGTCACGTGTTATTATTGTTTTTGTAAAAAGAGAAAATGATCATATTCTATTTATTACTTTATTACTTGGTCCAACGTGTTGCGAACAGGTGGGTTTACCATTTGAGACTATTATAGATTAGATTATTAGTGGTATATGTGCCAATTGTTGAACAAGTGAAATAATTTAAGAATATAAACTAAACTTTAACTAACCTATACTCTTGAATTTTGTGAAATATAGTTAAAAATCACTTATAAATAGAAACAGAAGGAAGTTAATACTCTTCTAGTTTTAGTTATAAATCACTTCTAACATATTTCACACAAATCAAGAAAAGTCTTAGCTTTATTATCTTTTCTTTAAAATTTAACAACTTTTCAATTTTATTATTATTTATTATATATATTATATTCCATATAAATAAAGTTAACAAAATAGATAAATGAAAAGTAAAAGTATACATTTATATATATGAAAAATTTATGTCCGCCTTATAAATAATGCCAATTTTTTTTTTCTTTCTTTACCCTACAAATACTAAATAGGAACAACAATAACAACAAACTTTTATCCACTAGGTGAAGTCAACAACATAAATCGCACAATGTTATTAAACTTTATCTAAAACTAAATCTTTAGATATATTATTAACTCTGTTAATAAAAGCAAAACAGTACGTAATCAGCAAAATCACTACTAAGAATGGAGATGGGCAGAGCCGTGTCCATGAAATTCTGAATAATACTTACGTACACCGTGGGCTTTGTATGCTGGTTCACACACGCATGCCAGGAGCCTTGTGCAAAGTGGGAATTAGGCAGCTGCTGATTCAGCGTTATGCACTCCCCACGACTTTGGAAATGGGTCTACCAAAATGCACGTTAGGTTGGCCTCAAGTCAACAAGTGATCTAGTTAATATAGAATCAACTCATAACTCATAAGTTTATGAGCTCAAATCCTACTAACAGAATTTATGATACAAAGATGTTAATTAAATTCATTAACAAAACGTATTTCATTTCAATTCATTTCAACTAAAAGCTAAAATAAAATACCCATTTCTTTTGGGCTTGTCATTGAACACAGAAGACATACATTATATATATCAACTCTTTATGCTTGTGCCCATCATGACCACAAGCTAAGGTTGTAGTCTTACGGAACAATACTAAAAGAGGCTAAATAAAAGGATATACAGAAGGAAAGATCAGACCATATAGATTAAATTGGTCCTAGCGTTTCTGCGTTTAGATGAAGACTAATAATCCTACAGAGAACCCAAAGCCAATTTGATTCAGCAACGAGAGCCCTTTGGGCATTTAAGTGCTCCAGCCGATGCTGTTATAGAGCCAATCAAAGAAGAAGATTTTGCAGAGAGACTTGAAGCTCGAGCATAGCTTGAAGATGCTCCTTTCCCTGACGGCGTGAAAAACGCACCGTTTAGCATTAGATCCCCCGACGACCTCCAGTTCCAGTTCTCCCATTCACTCTCCGGCGAATTCTCCCTCTTCGTCACCTCTTTGACGGTGCCGTCATTAGGAGCAAGAAATCTGTTGCCTTGACTGTTTATAGTTGGATTCGCACTCCCTCCTATCGCATACTTCTCCCACTGGGTGTAGTCATTGTTTACCACATGGAAGTACCCATGTCTACACCTGCGATTACAAAACAACTTGGGTTCATTAGTCAACTGAAATTGATTCAACAACGTTGTTCGATTTCTGTCGGAAAAGGGATTGGATAAAGTTGTTACCTTGGCATTCTTTGGACTAAACCTTTACCGAAATGGTTGAAGGCAATCGTGACCTGCATGTTCTTGTCCTGCGTGTAACTGTCACTGTGACCCAGAAGCATCACCTTGTCATGGCGGGTCATGTAATTGCTTGAGATTGTGATTGCCGTGGACCCATGAATCGCATCGATCAGTCCATCTTCGCAATTCCACAGGGAACAGTGGTCCACCCAGATATGGCTTCCTCCGAAAATGGAAACTCCGTCGCCGTCCGACACCGTTCTCCAACCGTAATGTGTCGGAGAATCTCGTACGTAGGCGTTACCTCCTCGTTTACAGTCGTGAATGTTGATTCCGTGGATAATGACGTTGGTTACGAACTGTATTGTGATGCAAGGACCCCCTGCGATGTGAACATTGGCTCCTCTGCCATCGATGGTCTTGAAGGAGTTCATGATCAGTTCTTCTTTGAGCTTGATGACCATGTCTTTCTTGAAGATGATCCACAGTGGCTCCTTCTGTATAACGCCGTATCTGAGGGTTCCTGGCTTGGGATTCACGGGGTGGTCGCCGGGGTCGGTGACGACGTAGTATCTGCCGTCTCTGCCTCCGATGGCGTTCTTTCCGAACCCAATGCCGCAATCTGCCAGACGATTTCTGTTCTTCTCCCAGTTGGCGTCACACCTCCAGCAATCATCAATGGGGTTCCCAGTTCCACAGGAAAGAAACCCCAAGTTTCTCCTCGACGCGTTCATGCTCCTGGAATAACAATTGAAACAGAGGTTATAAGTTACTGATATGAAGAATATCAGAAAATGAAAATGGTGGGTGTGTGATGATTCCGAGACATACTTGTGTACTTGTTCGACTACTAATTCTGGATCTTGAAGTGGGGAAGAGAAAACGAAGGAAGGAGCCAGAAGTAGGAGGAGAAATGTGAACGAGAATGGAAGTGGAAGTGCCATGTGTGAGGGCAGAAGTTAGGATTATGATGCAGAGAGAGAGAGAGAGTGATTGTGATTTTGTGAAGAACGACGAAGACAATGTGAGGTTTATATAGTGAAAAACCCGGGAAATTAGACTGATTATCCGTTAACTGATATATTATTTACATTTTTGCTGAATAGTATAAGGTAGTTCGGCGCACGATTAGGCTGCTTAAACCTAATATTACTGGAATTGTACTCTTATCCTTAGAAAATACACATTTGACTTATTTGATTCTTTGAACCTTAATTTAAAGGGTACTATGACTAAATGATTTCTTGGGAGGGTATCAAAATGTATGGAATAAATTAAGAATAAGTTGAATTAAAGTCACATGCTGTATTTGAGGCAAAAAACCAAAAAAACAAAAACAAAAAGAAAAATCACATGCTGTGTGTATAACTTACTAACTATTTGTATTTGTTTAATTAAAGATACCGTTGACAATTAGTTAGTCAAAATATTGGAAAGCTTAGTTGTAACTTGCGATATGCAAAATTATTTAGAATCAGTTATGCTTAAGAATGAAGAAATCAACTATTACCTCTGGTTCTAATTATGAGAGCCAGTTGACTAATTTGAAGAGATTAAGGAAGTAAGTTGAATTAGTTATTTGTCCTAAATAGGTGTTGTCTTTCCTAAAATATCTTTACTAATTAAGTGTATTGACTAGAACTATTATTGTTAAAAAGGCAACTTTGAAAAAATATATATAAATATGAGAGACAAAGTGAATTGGGATATTATATTTAGGACTAAAATAAAAGTCAAATAGAATCTTATATTAAGAACCGGAAGTAGTATTAATAACTGTACGTTGTGTTATTGTAATATTGGAGCAATTACCAAGCAAGCTTCTCCAATCGTTAGCTTACATCCTTCCTATTTGAGGCTGCTTTGATGATGATGGTGCATCTTTTGTGTTATCAAATATTCTTTGGGTAAATGGGTGGAAAATCGAGTATTATTTATAAAACAGATTGAAGGTTTATTCAAGATGATGGAAAAAATATATTAAAAGAAATTTTAATTTAATACTCCTTCTATTTTTAATGTAAGATATATTTAACTAATTTGATTAGATTAAAAAAGTTAGATAGGTTAGTTGATTATAACAAATATGATTTTTTTCTAAAATATCCTAATAATCTTCTTTAATATTTTCCCTCACTCTCCTATTTAATTACAGTTAAAGGAGCATCAATATGGTAATTTGAAAAAAAATAATAAATAAGATAAATAAGTCTTACATTTAAAAACAAAACCAACTCTATAATTAAGTATTATATTAATAATTGAAAAAGTATAATTTTTTACAAATTACGACCTCAAGGGAGGTTGTAATGTTTAAAAAATTATGCATTGTCTAGTTATGACCTATGACCATTGAAGTAAATACCACTACCGCCTCCGATATTATACATGTGTGTGTGATATACAAATAATTAAATTATTTAAATAAAAATATTAGTTAAAATTAGTTAAATAAAGACAATACATAGATAAAAATATAAATTTTTTGTAAATTTAAATATAGCCTTATTTATAAAGAGGGTAAGTGAGAAAATGAGTTGAAAAAAAATATAACTTATACTACATCCAATTTTAAATATGAAAGTTAGACATCGGTTTACTCAAGACCCAACTTTACTTTGTTTTTTCTATTTTTATTTTTTCTCCAAAATTTTATATTGATTACTTGTAGTAAGAAGATTTTCATCAAGGGATGATTAGAAATTTACATTGCACATGTTTAGAATAAGTGTTCTAAGGAAACCGACATACTTTTGTTATCAATAACTAATTTAATTAATTTTTCAATGGTTACAAATTATTTATTTATATCTTATATTTCTTCTTATCCACAATATCCTACTTCGATTTTTAATATAAGCTGCCTGTGATACATTCTCGCATATTAAGGAATATATGTCCTAAATTGTCAAAAAATTTTAATTTAATCCTTATTGAAATTTTTTCTTTCTTTATATATTTACAAATCATTCTCATATCTCTCCTTTTTTTTTTTCTTTTTTGCAATAAAAATTAAATAAGGGTAAAATTAAGAAATAAATATTAAATAAACTAAAAATAACTTATATTTAAGACTAGAGTAGTTGCTTCTAGAAGAATAGATTGGTCAAGTTATTTAAAGAGTAATGAATAATTATTTGTCAACTTTATCCCTACAATCAATACTTAAATATAATTCTTTGTATTTTTTTTTTTCCTTATCCACGACATCTTTGACATATGGGTAAAGTTGGAAAATACTCCCTGCTCCTTTTTATAAAAAATAATTTCAAATTATAGTAGTGTCTTCAAATATGACATTTATTATCTCTCTATAATAAATTTTTACCTATGATCTCTTATGTACTCTCTTTGCAAACAAAAGTATTGAAAAAACATGTATATATCTTATGTATTTATTACTTTTAATTAAATTTAATTAGCATTTTGAAACACGTGATTTTGATAGTTGTTTCTTATGTTAAGAGACACGTGAATTGCAAAATAGGGTACAAGAGTTTAGACAACAGAATCAAGAGATTATGCAATAGAATTGGGATATTCAATAAGAGAATCAAGAGATTTGTCAGGAGAATCAAAATCTTAAAGATATAATCTTGTCAAAGCTGAAGAAACTTGAGAATAAAATATCCTAGCCATCTGACTAAGAAAGTGCAATCTGACTAAGAAAGTGCAAGAAATGATTGTTGAGACATTAGTTGTGTCCATTTATATTTCTAGAACAAACTTCTGATATTTTTTTTTATTCAGTTGTTATGTTTTTAAATTTTAGACAATTGATTGTACTTCATATTATTTTTAATTCATGTTGGTTTTTATAAAAAAATTGATTTGATTAGCATTTCAAAAATTTATTCCTGTCCCTGTAAATTATTTATAGAAAAAGCTAGCGCACAAAAAAAATCTGACAGATAGAAAATGTTGGCAAAAAAAAATTCCAACAGATTTGCAATGGAAATTTCATCGCAAATCCTTTCATGTATGACAAAAATCGACATAATTTTTGTTCCAAATCCGTCGCAAAGTTTGCGACGAAATATTCCATGGCTAATTTTCGTCACTACTTCGTCTCAGAGTTGGAATGCACAATCCCTGATATTTGCGATGGAATTTTTCTATCGCAAATCAGTGACAGAATTTCCGTCGCAAATTTCGTGGCTAAATTTGTGACAAAATCTTTGAATTCATCGCAAATATATTAGCAACAGAAGTTTTAGCGATGAAATTTCATTTACGACGGAATTTCGTCGCTAATTTCTGTCGCAAAACATTTTAGTGACGGAATTTTCATCGCTAATCGTTTGTTTTTTGTAGTGATGGAGGAAGTAATTTTTAATTGGAGACAGATTTAATAAGTGAACTACTATTTTTTAATGCTGATGAATTAATTAAAGTGACTTATATTATAGATGTGGTGAAGTACTAAGATTTGAAACGAGTACAAGAGAATAATAATGAATGAACAATTTCTTTACTTCAATAGCTAGTGCCAAATTCAGAAGGTTGGTGCTTGTTTAGAGCTACTTAATATAAACAAGTATAAGAATATTTATGTAAGTTAAAGGAGAAGTTTTTTCACATACTTACCTCTTATTTTCTAAATCATATTATTCTATAAATGACACTTAAAAAGTTTCTTTTAAAGTTTTTAATTCTCATTTCAAACAAGTCCCAAGGATGTTATGAAAGAAAGAGGGAATTTTTGACTTTTCGTTTTATTATTTTCGGGTATCAAAACGGAGAGACTCGAATGTCGTGCCTCACTGATGAAATTCAAATCCGTTGTCTCATCTTGCAAAGATTAATTGCGAACAACAAAAATAATACTCCATCTACTTCAAATATAAGATATATTTTATTTATTTATGTTTATCAAAAAAATTAGTTTAAAATAACAAATATATAAGGCATGTTTTTTTAATATGTATTTATTAATAAAAAGAATAAGTAAAAAATGTAATAAATAAATCAAATAGAAAAAAGAATATATATATTAGGAGTAAAATTATAAAAAAAAACTCATTAAATATTTAGAGAAAAGTAAATATTATCTTATAAAAAAGAACAAACTTCTCTAATAAAGTCTATCTTATATTTTAAACTGGAGGGAGTAATGAATAAAATGATTACAGTAATTCACTTTCTCCATTTCAGCAAAAAACCCATGATTTTTGCGAAGCTGTTCAAACACTACAAGTCTTTGTAAGCTTAGTACCACGAACAGATAAGCGAGATACTGAGTTCAATCTCACTCATCAGACAACTAGCATATGCCTTTCCGTCCTAATTATAAAATCTTTTTTTATAGTTAACAAGGACTGAAGGTAGTATATCTCTGGTTACTAAAAAAACGAGATAACAAAAAAAGTTAATAAAAAAAATTAACAGCAGAATAATTTAGAAAAAAAAATCTTCAAAAAAATACCTCTTAAATTTTAAAATTTTGTTTATTATATTTTAGTAGCAATTGACTATACTTAGAAAATAAATGACAATGTATTTTTTTTAAAATTTTGAAATTTAAAAATTATTTTTTTGAAATTTTTTCATTTACGGAAAACACATGGGCAACCACCAAGTGTGAGAGGAAATGAAATGTGATGACGTGGAATGTTGCTGACTTTTTTGGTTCTTTTTTTTATTTTATCAGCTTTTGGTTCCGTTTCCGTTCATACCATCACCATGGAACAAATTGCTACTTTTGGTTCTAATTATAAGAATCAATTAACTAATTTGAAGGAATTAAAGAAGTAAGTTGAGTTAGTTATCTGTCCTAAATAGGTATTGTTTTTTCTAAAATATCCTTACTAATCAAGTGTATTGACTAGAACTATCATTATTATAAGGGCTATTTTGAAAAAAAATGTATAAATATGACAGACAAAGTGGATTGTAGTCTTATATTTAAGATTAAAATAAAAATCAAATAGAGTTTTATATTAAAGACAGGAGG